GTCCTTCCATTTCTATCTCTTGCTATAGGTGAAACTTGCATGCTGTTCAGATTTTCTGCCCTTCATTTCTTCCTGGACAGACTGTTAACCTCAAATGTAGCTTTGCAGACTTTTTGGAATCTGTGGAATACTATGCCACATTACTAGAATAGTACCAACATGATATGAATGTGTTGAGGTTTTCTTTTGTTTTTCCTTCATGGAGTTTTGCAAATTTTGAGAAAAGGAGAGGCAAATTCAGTGACTGATGAATTTGGGGCAGAGAAGTCATGCTGGTTAGTTGATAGGTTCAGCTAGTGTTTAACTGGGGTTGAGCAGAATCTGGCTAAAGCTTTTCTGTGTGAGCTCAGCTGGATGCTAAATGTGTTTGCGGTTTGTGGATGGTGAGGACAAAGTGGGGAAATCGTTAAAGTGTGTGGCAGAGCTCATTAAAGACTTCAATCTACAATGGAGTCATCAGTTTGATGCAACCCTGTGGGACGGATATATTTCTCCAAGCAGTTTTCGTTGAATTGCTATTTGTATAATGCAGTAGGACGTGCTTGCTTTGCTTATTCAAATGTGATGCCTGTGTACAATTTGGTCATAGCTGCATTTTCTGCTGGCATGAAAGGGAATTATGATATGGGCAGGACAATTTGAGCTGTCTATTTTTAAGGCCCTTCTTGACAATTGGCATCAGCAGCCCAATTGTAAGGTCAGACTTCCTTGGAATGCAGCAGGCCTTGTGCCATGTTGTCAGATGGACAAGAGATTAAAGAGCACAGCCCTGCTATGCTGTGTGGCCCACATTGGATCCTGAACAAGACATATTTGTGTGGCAGCTTCATTTTAATTTCACTGCCCTTTGTTTTTGAGATGTCAGTTGCTAATCCAGCTTTGTGGATTAGGGTGCCTTCTTTGCACAATTTACAAACACTACTCATATGGTAGAGTGTGTGTAAGAGTGTGTGTATGTATCGTGGGAGAGATCCTTTACCTCCCATGGCACCTCAGCCCTTTCGTTGTCTGTCTGAAAAATGAAATGTCAAATCCTGCTTGGTATATCAGAATTCATTTTAAAACAAGGTGCAGTGCAAATTTGTATCGGTCATGCTTTTCATGTGCAGTTTTCTTAAAGACAATGATGTACATTGGGATCTGCTTTCTCATTTGCTTTTCAATGCCATACACAGATACCCTGCGCTCTAGTCAGGGGTGGGATTCAAAATTTTTAACAACCGGTTCTGTGGGAGTGGCTTATTGGTAGGTGTGGCTTGATGGTCATGTGACTGGCTGGGCGTGGCCAACTCATCATCACTCACATCGAGGCACGCATCTCCTCGCCTGGCCTCTCATGACTGTGGGGGTGCTGCAACAGTCGTAAGTGTGAAAAATAGTCATAAGTCACTTTTTCAGTGCCATTGTAATTTTGAATGGTCACTCCACACAAGCAAAGTACCAGCAAAGGAGGGGAAAAAAACTCCAGAGAAGTTCCTGAGACAGGAAGTCTTGCCAAGAATGTAATAAGAGTTAATGGAGAGGCAGTTTCTGTAAACAACACCAGAATGTTTCCTTCCTGCCTTCCTTACAGGATTAGGTCAGTAATTTCTTTTTATTCTTCCTCCGTCATATTTTAAGTGACTTTCAGATCTCTGGCACACTAATTCAGAGCATGTGCCCCAACCCATCTGACTTAACTACAGGATATAAGTACACCTTTTGGTAAATTCATGTGTATCTCTCATTGCCAGGATAGTGTGATTTAGGATTCAGTACGTAATGTTTTTCTGCCTGTTTACTGTCTGTTTGGTTTTTTTTTTCTAGAAAGTCAACTTGATGCTTGTTGACCTCATAAGCATTTTATAAGTATAATGGCACTGACAGCATTACCTTTTTCCTAATAGAGTTCAATGTCATGCATCATTTAACACAAAACTTAATAATATTACTTCTCTTGTTCAGCAAAAAAAAAAACACCTCACAAGCAGGTATTTTGTTCACTAAATGACCTTTATCTTATATAAAAGAGAAAGGTAAAATGTTTTATATGTTTTAGGTGTTCCCTCTCAAAAGTTACATACATTGCAGAGTAAAAGTTTTACTTATTTTATAATTTGGTTTGCTTCTATGTATATGTGTTTTCAGGAAGGTTTAAGAATGAAGATTGAAAATGTTGCCCCATGTGATGAATAAATAATTAAAAGACAAATATTTTAAGAAACATATATAAAAATTGTGATATTGTCCAAATTATCCTAGCCTAGTACAAACATCACTAGAGAATTTCTCTTCCTTTTTTAGAAATCTAATGACATGATCACCCCCATTTTTTTTAATAGGATACAGATTTTCAGCAGATCACTGGTTTACAATCCTGGTTTTAACTCTGAATATCAATAGCAACAAGTAAAGGTGTGCACGGGACACTCAAACTTGGCTGTCTTGTAACAGGTCAAATTTCAAAACAACACTAAGAGACAGTGAGAACTAAGCATGTGCCCCTTTGTTTTTCATTTCAAAGTTTCAAGGGTCAGTTCTGGACCACAAAATCTAATTGATTGTTAGTATGATGATTATGGCTACCATATCTGGGCTACAAAAAGTACTAGATGAGAACAGAATTCTCTGTATTTCTTTTCCACCATTTACCAATCAATTAGATTTTGTGGTCCAGAACTGGTAGCCCTAATGCTGATTGCTATTATGCAACCAATGTGCAGAAAGATTGGGGGAAAGGTTGATTTTTAACATTTATTTGAAAATACAGGGGGGAAAATTCCAGGCAGTTCTGGACAAAACAGATAAATCTGTCTTCTTACCTATATTACGATCTCTAAGACAAACACCTGACACACAGGTCAAAAAGTGATTCTTTCATAATTCTTTTCTTAGCAATTAGTAACATTTCCTAGTTTTGAATGTCCCATTCATTGCAGTGCTGTGAGTTTTCTTTAAGATTGCACTTATGTGACATTACAGGTAGTTCTTGACTTACAACCACAATTGGAAGTGTTGAGGTAATTCCCCGTTAGGAGAATGAGTGCACACAGGGAGACGTAGTGAGAGTGGTGAGGAATAACACACAACCAGCACACAGATACACTGTATAGTAAAATGTAGGTTTTTATTGCCAGTAAACGGTTAAGCAAAGTCCAACAAGCAGTCCAAGTCATACACGGTTATAGCAGTCAGTTTTCAGTCCAGGGATAATCCAATAACAAAATCCAGTATCAAAAACAGTTCAGTAACTGACTTACATCAAATCCAAGAATAACGACGATCAGCAGCAGTCAATAGGGAAAAATGCAGGAACCAAGAACATCGACCATCAGAACATCTAGCAACTAGCAACTAACAACAGGACATCCAAACCAGGTTTATGGCTCCATCTTATGGCCGTTTGGGGAACCACACCCAATTACAATTTTAGCATTCCCTTAAAGAGACAGTATTAAATGTCTATCCTGGTTTATATATTTCCAACCCAACTGTTAGGTGACTTACATTCCTTACAGGAACCACAAGCTTTGTTTCTAAGCAGGGTGGTTGCTAAGTGTGTTATTTCCAATTTTACATTTTTTTTTGGGGGGGGGGGCAGGATTGTTAAGCAGTTGTTAGTATAATTGTTAAGGAAATCCATCTTGCCCCATTGACTTTGCTTGTGGGAAGCCAGCTGGGAAGGTTGCAAATGACAATCACATTATCCCAGGATGTTGCAACTCTCGTAAATACATATCAGTTGCCAAGCACCTGGATTTGATCATGTAACTATGGGGATGCTGCAACCGTCATAAGTGTGAGGACTGGTTGTAAATCATTTTTTTCAGCACCATTGTAATTTTGAACAGTCATTAAACAAATGGTTGCAAATCAACAACTACTTGTAGGAGAAGGCTGACTGTACTTAACTGCATAAATAATATTCATTACAATAACAAAATGGAAACATTAATTCCACTATGATTTTTTTTTGTTTGCCACGCTCTGCTCATGATACCAGCATTTATAGCTCACCAGCAGAGTTCAAGAGCCAATGCTGTATTTATTTTATGTATTTATGTCTTGCATTTTTAATGAGCATTCCGGGACACTCAATAAGAACCATGCCAATCAGACAGCTTTTCAATTTCTTAAAGCCACCCAAAGTTCTGTATCAACAAAGCGTAAGAATAATAGTGATAAAAACACACAGCTGAGAGTTGAAATGCTAGGTTGTTGTTCATTTTGGACTTTGGAGATAGAGCACTAACAATGTTACATTATCTGATGGTAGTATCATGTCTGCAGCAGGAAACCCAAGCTTGGAGAACATTAAGGACCCAGGAACATTCAGAGATAGATATATAGAACATATTGGTTGCAATAATCTCAGGGTTTTGGGGTGAATTGAAATTTTGAATCATATACAAGTCAATAATATTGATTTAAGAAATAGAACATTCCTTCTAATACAAAATTGCAGTTTCTTTAAAGATAAAGTCTGTATGTAAATCAACCCAATTTTGTTAAATGCTGGCTTTAGATTCAGAAGTTTATGTTCTTTAAAATGAACATCTAATGTTTTATTGTGCATTCAGATTATTTATTGATTAAAGACCAAAATTTGGGGTACCATTTCCATTGATTAATTATCTCCCACTCTTGGTTTGTCTGCATATTACTGTTGGGAAGTTTTGCTTCTGTCAATACGTCATGAATTTGTATCGTGTTGCACTTTGGTAATAGCTTTCAGTAGTCTATTGAGAGCTGTTAAATCAAATGAAAATGGGTCCTTGAAGACTACTTTTGAGATTCTCTTTGTACATAAGCCTCATTGATACAAACAAGACTTGCTATCCAATTTAAGAATTGGAGCATGGCCTCCATCAACTCTTCTAGAAGCTACTGTATACAAAACTTTGTGACCTATTTTGTATAGTGTTATAGACAATGTTATATGAAAGACTAAAAGCTATTGTATCATGAAAATAGAAAATTTTGTTGCTCTATTTTTTATTGGTCTGTTTTTCTTTCTTTAGCTCAGCAGAATTCACCAAAAATCCATGAAGGCTGGTGGGCTTATAAGGAGGTGGTCCAGGGAAGCTTTGTTCCAGGTAAGTGCTATATTCATTATTCAAACATTATGTGAATTATTGCTATTTTATTCTGATATACATCATAACATGTAGTGTTGGCTTTTATGTTCAGGAATTTCAAAAATTTAGATACCAACAGCTGTGCACTACAACAAAAATCAAAACATAAGTCAATAATTGGATTGATTCTATATCTCTCACTTTAGATGAAGCATCATAGTTATATGTATAGAAAACCTTGTGGTTTTTTTTTAACTTTATTGATTTTCAAATTGTGTTTCTTAAGTTGGAGGGGGGGAAAATTAGCCCCTGCTTTTGGCTGTCTTTTCCTATATTCAATTTACATTGAAATCTGTAGAACTCTTATTTCTACAAGATTGTTTTTAAATCTTCTGGGAATTCTCAGAAGGGTATAACCATGGAGATAGAAAGGAGTGATCCTAATTAAAGGAAAAATATGGGAAACATACTTGATCGCTGTGAGGAGGAACTGGTTCTTATTTTTTCTGTACTTAAACTATTCTGATTATTCCAAGTCAAAACCTTGACATGTTCTATTTTCCTCCTGTTAACTCAGGTTTATAATATTTCCTTTGAGATAGGCCCCAACCTCATTGACCTTCTTGAAATCTCCTTAAATCTGGTTTTGTCAGCAAACTTGGGGATTTCATGTAACTTAGGGACCCCATCAAATTATTATATTGTACATAAGACTTTGAATGTATTCCACAGTTTGGGTATTATTTATGCTTTTTAGGTTTTTTTCATTGTTTTATTTAAATTGTGTGTGCTACTCCGAGATACATACATGAGATGTATGATAATAAATATCTATAGCTTTTCCTTTCTTATGCAATTAAGTAATAGTTTGCTTGGAAACAGAAAATTTTGGACATATGCGCATTGAGGTAAATATTATGAAACCAAGGAAACACATTCATGTAGTTAGGGATATGTGATGAGTATATGCTCTATTGTATATATCCAGTGTAAGTGTTAATATGGTGTATGGAAGGATGAATAATGATAAATGCTCACTGACCCCTTGAGAATTCTTGACTGACCACTTGTGAGAAAGGGTTTAAAAAACACTTGTCATACACATATTTGCTTCAGGAGAGTAGCCTATAAACAGAAAGAAGAGCTTTAAATCATAACATACAGTTGTATAACCTTTTTTTGTGAAGGCCACACAGTTCGAGTGATATTCAGAAAAAATGGCACTAATAGGATATAAGTTCCAGGATAAAAAAATATGTTTAAATTGCGTTTTATATGTTCACTTCCCATTTATCCAAACATTTCTCCCTTTTCTATATCAAAACTTAAAATTGGCTAGGATTTTTTAAAAGGGCAATGGAGATATTATCCAACTCTTCAGAAATCTACTTGTGACTCAGGGGCCTCAGGTTTGCATCTCAGACTCATTTTTTTACCCAAATATTGAAGCCTTTTGCTCATGTTTTGATTTTAACAGTCAAGAGATATTCACAGCAGTCTCCGATTTGTTTAAATGTTAAAGGTCTGAATCAAAAACAGAAGTTTGGTTTATGAAGCATGATTTCTAACAAGACTGAAGGTTCTTTGATCCTGGACTTGGTGACTTAGTTATTTTTTAAAGTAGGGAACCATTCCGCCCTTAGACTCATATCATTTGAATACCCTGAAAACCTTATTTTTCCCTGCTACCTCATCCTTTTTTTGTTTTTCAAAATGAGGGAGAGAGGGAGAGGGAGAGAGATATCAGCCAAATTGTAATCCAAGTGATCCAAGAACATTATGCACTTCCTTGAGAAACTAGCTCGGAAACCCAAGGCTTAAAAATGGCAGAATAAATGCTGCTGCTTTGGCAGCTGGAATTATGTGGCAAAGTAAGAGTATAACCATTGTGGATGATGGATGGCCTTTAGTCCCTGTCTCTAATTAACAGTTTTGCTCTAATTCTATGTTGGAATATGTGCACCTTTGAAGGCTCTTCCTAAGATGCAATTGTTGCCAGATCTCCTTCACAGTTGTATGAATTGGTCTAACGTTGCAAGTCTTTTTGGAATTATAATAGTACTTTATATAGTGCTTCATAGTGCTTTACAGCCTCTCTAAGCAATTTACAGAGTTAGCATATTGATCCCAACAATAATGCTTGAGAGCTTCTATTTAAATATACCTTAATATTTCTTCCATACATGGTGAGAGAAGATGTGTTTACTAAACTTAATGTTGTTATGTTTTCTTTTTCCGTAGTTCAATTTCCCTCACTGGTAAATATGCAATAGACTGCTTTGCCATACTCCGAATGCTTAACTCCTTGCCAGAAGTTGGGGGAAAGGGACAGGAATTTTACTTACAAGTACATACAGTTTTGCATTGACAGTGATATTTGATATATCCAGTGGCCTTATTTTAACAAACTATACATACACAGTCCTAGTTCAATTTCAGAGAGATGTTAACTGTTTCATGCAGCTTCTTTCTGTGCTTTCAATTCTAGGGTAAGTTCTGTCCTAGGGAGGAAGAATGAGAAGAAGGAAATATACAATTCTTTTTTGAGCTCCTTAGATTTCAGCACCATTCTCAAACCTTGCATTTCCACTGATACCTATTCTGATCTCTAAAACCTGCAATTATTTCCACCTGCCAGTTTTCTCAGTTGATCTCTCTCTTTGGGTCCTATTTGCTCCTGCTGGGTCTCCAACTGCAAATTCATCCTTCTTGACTCATGCCACCTCACAGTCCACACCACACAAAAATAATAGCACAAATACACAACGACCCCTTCCTCCATTACTTAATGCTCCTGCAATTTTATATGTTTGCAGCTAAAAGGCAAGGATTGCTTACTTGAATTAAGCATGAGGCTTCTTAATGTTTATGTGACATTGAGCCTGATTTTGGCTCTTATTTTTCAGTCTCAAGACCATCCAGATAACTTAACTTGCCATCCCTTGACTACAAAAACTTATATGAGGTTCATTATTTGTTACTAGTCTTATAGTCAGGTTTGAGATTTCCACACATCATCAAAGTTTGGCCTATTTGCCTCTTTATGAGAAGCTTATATTTGACCCAAATATGCTTTTCTAAAAAAAAAGCCATTCATTTAGAGTTTGAGATATAATCCTATTCCTCCCCCCCGCCCCACTCCACAATTTAGAGCAGGAAGCAAGCATATTGAATATGACTATTTTATGAGAACTCCTCGAGAATCTTTAGCTACTTTTAGTATTTAAAAAAACACCTTTGGTGTGGTCTTATGTATTTCCTACAAGTGAATTTATGAACTCCATTGTGTGGGAGGAGGATTATACTAGATAAAGAAGGCCATATAGTAAGTGTTGTAACTTATCTTACATCATCATTAAAGGTTCAGATCAGTTAATATAATTGTTCTGATCATTTGAAAAACAATTGATGCATGACTTGCCTGGGAAAAATAATGGATAAGAGTTAAGAAGATTATCATGACTTGAGTGGGAGAAGTTAATCTGATTTTCACTTTCATGTAAACAAAGCAGACTAGATTACTATCTTTCCATATCCAATGGTGGTGGGTTTTCTGGGAAATGTTGAATTGGAAAATATTCTGTTGCTGTAAATTGAGTGAAGAAAGGAGCACAAGAGTTTTGCAGCTCCTTAAATATAACTTTTTATTGATCGCAGTCTTCTTATTCGGATGAAATTTTATTCAGAGTTTCAAGCATGTGTTTGTGTATGTGGGGATAATAGGAGAAGAATTTTAAACAGTCCACTCAAAAGGAAGTGAAATGCAGAATATACAGATATGATAATTATCTTATTAAAAGTGACCACTTGTAAAACAATTGTTGAGTAGAAATATTGTATGGGAAAGTTGATTAAAACATGCAACGTAAAAAAGCCTTTCTTTTTATTGATACAACAGGAGATGCCATTAACTGTAATTTAGTTGCTTCCAAAAAGAATCGTATGGCACACAAGAAAATATGTGTCTGGTATATAGCTTGTTGGTATTTATGTGTCGGTAGGCATGTCATCACTAACCCACTGCATGTCACTTGCCCATCTTTGCTTTAATTCGGGAATACTGAATGCTAAACGTGGGACAAATATATATATATCTTGTAATCTTCTAATAACTGATCATCTTCCCTTTTACTTTAAAGCATTTTTACAAAAATCTTAGTATAATGCTAGGAGATAATTTGAAGATATGTTATATGAGGAAAAGTGCTGCATTCAAAGATTTTTCCCCAGTGTTATTTACTTTTTTCATCTACTCTTTTATGCAATAGAACAGACTCATATGAGTGTGGTTTTTAAAGCTTGTAGGTCATCTTAAATATAATAAGAAAACTATTCAAGCCACTGAGAAATAATTATGTATATTATCAAGAAAATAATTTCCTGGGCTTGATGCTTTACTGAAAATAATGGGAGGATAGGCAACTTCTCACTCCAATAATCTCTTTTCTGCTGCTTAGGAAAGGCAGCTATGCCAATTCCCATTAGACTTGAGGTCCTGCAAGAGTGGCTTCCTTGTTAACAAAATACTCAAAAACACTACAAGCCCCCAAACCCCAAACAACAATAGAAAAGCAAAACAAAGATATGTCAGGGAATAAGATGGAAAGGGTAAAGGGGATAGCAATAGCAGTAGCACTTAGACTTATATACTGCTTCATAGTGCTTTACAGCCCTCTCTAAGAAGTCGACATATTGCACCAAACAATCTGGGTCCTCAGTTTACCAACCTTGGAAGGATGGAAGGCTGAGTCAGTCTAGAGCCCATGGGACTCAAACTGCTGGCAGACAGCAGTCAACATAAGTAGCCTGCAGTACTGCATTCTAACTACTGTGCCACCACGGATAAAAGCATTCTGGAACATTGATATTTCGGAAGAGCTTATGTTTCTCAGAACAGCCATTTTGAGGGTAGGCATGCCTGCCAAGTAGTCATACTTCAAGAATGCCCATGGTGTCTCCTGAAAATTCCAATTGTGCCCACTTGTCCAATCAAGGTTGGGGGCTTCTACGTCTACGTT